TTATGAAAGTTAAAAAATAAATGGTTATTGCTATTTAGAAACACAAAACAATGAGGCACACGTCGGGTTTAACTTAATTAAGAAAAATTTAAATAAGATAAAATTTTTATTCGCGTGAGTTATAGTCGAATATAGTCTTGTGATATTTTGCAATATGGTAGAAATTTGTGGTTTTAATTGCAAAAAATGTAGTAATATGTTGTTAAAGGTTAAAAATTAATAGTAACTGCAATTGATAACATTAATTTGAATTTTAAATTCAGAAAATAATAAGGCTTCATATCAATATTGATGGGATTAAAAAAGATTCATTCATATGGGTACACGACTGAGAAATTATGAGCACGTGTAGTATTTGAGCATCGTCTCGCGGCATTTTATTGAATGCTTAAAGGTTGTGGTTTAAATTATCAAACATGTGGGGAAATTATAACAAAGGGTTTAAAATAAATGGTTATTGCAATTCATAACATTATGGTGCATTTTAGAAACACCAAACAAGAAGGTTACATATCAGGATTAATTAAATTAACAGAGATTCAAAGAAGATAAAGTTTTTATTCACACTTGCGGTATAGTCGAACATATTTTTATGAAAATTCACGATAGGGTTGAAAGTTGTAATTTTAATAGCAAAAATCATAGTAATATGTTGTTAAAGTTTAAAATTTATATTAACTGCAATTAATATCTATAAGGTGAATTTAATATCAGAACAACAATACGGATACATATTAGTATTAATATGATCAAAAAAGATTTATTCATATGGGTATACGACTACGAGATTAAATTATGAGCATGGTTTAAAATAAATGGTAACTGCAATTCAAAACATTATGGTGAATTTTAGGAACACAAATCAAGGAGGCTATATATCATGATTAATTAAGTTAAAAAAGATTAAAGTTTTGTTCACACGTGCGGTATAGTCGAACACATTCTTATGATACTTAACAATGGGGTTGAAAGTTGTACTTTTGCATAATGTGGCCCTATAATTTACGAAGTATGCTTATTAGCTTTAGTGTGTTTTTAGCTAAGTGTGTTTATTAGCTTTAAAATGAAAAAATTCGAAGTCAATATTCTGTTTCAACAAATAGCCCGATATCTTACCTTATTATTGACCCATAATATTTATATTGGAACACGTATTATATTACCGGGTACTAGTTTACTCTACCAGAGGAAATAATTATAGGCTTATTAGGGGGCACATAATGTGACCCTATCGTTTACTATGTATGAATGAATATAATAGTGCGTTGAATAGCGTTAAAATGAGGAAATTCGAAGTGAATATTCTGTTTCAACACATAGCCCGATTTCTTACCTTAATATTGACCCATAATATTTATGTTGAACCACGTATTATATTACCGGCAACTAGTGTACCCTAACAGAAAAAATAACTGTAGGCTTATTCGCTGCAGGAGGGTGGGATCCTGGGTTCGAATCCCAGGGACGGACACTTTTTCAGAAAATTTTCTTTTTTTTCTTCTTTTGTTTATTTTACATTATATTATTTCTTATGTGTTTTTCGATATTCTGGAGGATCCTGCAAGTAGGAAATAAATTTTTTTTATTCGGAAAATGGGAAATATTCAGAAAAATACAGGAAAATCAGTTTATTTGCTCTTTTTCGACTTCTTTTGTAACATATTGGATATTCTAGCATGCATGGAGTGTTTTCTGTGTGTGAAATTCAGCAAAGAAAGCGTAATGGAATAATAAAAAAAAGAATAAAAAAATAAAATGAATTACACAGAGACTTAACACAAAGCCAGGCGCGAAGTCATGTGGAACATATACAAACTAATTAAGCATCGAAGTTGCCAGGTACACAACTACAAAAATACATCGCGGTTTCAATAAAATACATAAAAAAATAATAAATCTAAGTTAAGTAAAAGAAGTAGACTCGAAAGAATTATGTTTCAACTGATTCCATGTTTTCGATACGGGCTCTGCATTCAATTAACTTGTCGTTAATTACCATTCCAATTTTAGCTCAACTTTAATGCGCCATTTTGCTGATAAAGATTAGCTGGCACTGACGTCATAGGTCACATGTGGTTTTTTTTTTTTTTTTTTTAAGTGCATTTACCCAATTTTCACTTTAAGTCACAGGGCAATATTCTATTTTTCAAATATTATGGGAAAAAATGCAGAAAAAGTTTAAATATTTCTATACGATATAAATGTGATTTTACAAAATTCACTAAAATGTCACTAACTGCCAACCAAGTCTCATTTTTTCATTTTAAAAGTTATAAAAAAATGAAAATAATTTCCTAATGTTTCCATACAATTTTTTTAATTATTTGTATAAATTCTATGCTGTTTATGTATCGATATAATTATTTCTGATCGGAATTTACTTCAATTGGGTATAATATAAAAAAAACACAACTACTTCCACTTAGTAGGAATAACATTTACCATGACGCAATGCTAAATTCTATGCCACTATCCACATAAATCAATTATTAATCAAAAATCGAATATCAATTACTTTTCTTTATAATGCAATAAAATCTGGCGAGCAGCTATTTAAACGATCAAACNCACGTGGAGCATAAACAAACTAATTATGCATCGAAGTTGCCAGGTACACAAAACAAAAATATATCACGGTTACATAAAAAAAATAATAAATCTAAGTTAAGTAAAAGAAGTAGAGGAGAAAGAATTATGTTTCAACTGATTCCATGTTTTCGATACGGGCTCTGTATTCAATTAACTTGTCGTTAATTAACATTCTAATTTTAGGCTCAACTTTAATGCGCCATTTTGCTGATAAAGATTAGCTGGCGCTGACGTCATAGGTCACATGTGTGGGTTTTAAGTGCATTTACCCAGTTTTCACTTTAAGTCACATGGCAATATTCTATTCTTCAAATATTATGGGGAAAAATGCAAAAAAAGCTCAAATGTTTCTATACGATATAAATGTGATTTTCCAAAATTCACTAAAATGCCACTAACTGCCAACCAAGTCTCATTTTTTCATTTTAAAAGTTATGAAAAAAATGAAAATAATTTCCTAATTTTTCTATACAATTTGTTTTAATTATTTGTATAAATTCTATACTGTTTATGTATCGATATAATTATTTCTGATCGGAATTTACTTCAATTAAGTGGAGATATGATGACTTGCTGAGTTAAAAGAATAAAAATTTGCAGCTACGTTACAACACATGAAATAAAAATAATGTTTAAGTTTGGCTTAAAAAAGAGTTATCGAAGCTTAGAATTAAGGTAATTTAATTTCAGCAGCTTGTACACTTACTTCCCTTAGGTAATGACCTAGGGGAACAAAATAAAATGTTACAGAAATTTGCGTGTTCTCTCCACCAGCTGCTAGACGCAATTTAATGTACCATTCTACTTAATATTTGATTAAAATGCGTTCGTAAAGTATTATCGGTAAAGTAAAGTAACATGATGTCATTACTGTTCTCGGTTTATTTCAAATGCAGGCACCGTTATCCAGCTCCTTTAAAAAACTACCACCAATCAAATATGCTTCTAAAAATTAATTACTTAGTTCGTTTGTAAGATTAATATTGTCAAATATTTGATGAGCAAAAATATTGAGTTCTATTTGTAGACGTTAATTCAGAGTATATCACAACTTATATGAATTTGAAATACAATGTTTTCTAACAGGAAATTGCTTTTTCAAAATGAAACTCAGGAAAATATCACAGAAAACAAAATCACATATGAAGATGCAACATGGATTATGACAAGTTCTTTCATAATATTTACCATGCAATCAGGTAGGTCTGCATTCTCCCTATATCCTAATGCAATATCAGAACTTAATATTAATAATTAACCTTTCCTTTCATAATATATACCATTTTGTATTTTATTTTATTTTATAACAGTTGTTGAACAGCCGACCCAATTTTTGGGTTTACGACTACTAATGTTCCACTCCGTAGCTTTGTAATTTTGAACCCAATCCAGAACACAAGGGAACTCCTGTATCAAGCATTGGGTGAAATTTGCCTCTGTGGAGGACTTTCTGTTGGAACTGATTCGCTTTTGCGTTACATGGAGAAGAAGACCACAAGAACCTCCCACGGTTAGTCTGCCGGCAAAGGGACTCTAACCCAAAATCCGTTTATCCCTGAAGATATGTCACGTCAGCACTGAGTTCAGTGCAAGCCGGATGCGGATTCATATCGACTAGGCATCGCTGGGATTCGAACCCGGTTCACCTCATTGGAAGGCATCCTCAGTGGTAGACAGATCATGGGTTAGAGTCCCCTTGCCGTTAGGCTAACCGTGGACTTCCTCTCCGTGCAACGCAAATGCATGTTAGATCCGTCAAAAAAAAGTTTTCCACTTTCTCCCAATACTTGATCCAGGAGTTCGCTTGTCTTCTGGATTGGGTTCAAAATTACAAGACTACGTAGTAGTCGTAACATTAGTAGTCGTTAACCCAAAAATTGGGTAGCCTGTTTAACGACGGTTATAAAATTTCTTGGTTTGCTGCATTGTTAAGGCTCCTTTTTTATATCAATTACTCATGTGAAGTCCGATGTTCGGAGAATTTAGGCGTAACTGATCGAAATTTTGATGTTGATCTAACATCAAGTTCACATTTTTCATTTATTTTTTATTTGAAATTAAATTGAAAAGTTTTACGCTCTTTTCCGCAGCTTGGGAGTGATATGGAAAATTTGAAATTTCTCCAATATGTAGTGTCAAAACTTACTTGCGATTTAATATCATCTTCACGCAAGTTGTGCATTTTTGAGAAAGGACATTGGTCGGAAGCAGTGTGCTACATGTAGCAAAACTACTGTAGTCGCTACTTTTTCCCGTAGTTTGTAGTGTAGTGTGCTATTTTGCAAACCTAAAAATATATTTTTTTAAGGAACATGATTTTTTTCAAGTTTTTTTTTTCAAGTTTTTTTTTTAAATGTTAAGTGCGATGCTCAAACGGAATATATTAACAAACTTTTTTAAACTATTTATAGACTTATTACAATATACAACTTTTCCAATCTAAAGTATTCCGAAATTTTAAAATAAATTTTTTTCCCGACCTATTCTAATGTAGGCAATGCTGTAAGCATTGCGCAGTGATGCTGTTCGTGCCACTTGTCTTAAAATAGTGGAGTCTCGTCCTTCATTACCCCCACTCTGGCCGACTATGGGCTGTTGTAGAAATGCTCTACTTTTTATGTTTGAGTAAACTTAATAATTTCAATAATAGACTTTGAGTGACTGTGTTGGCATCGTTGGCAAATCTTATTTTATGAAAATTGAGCTGAAGGTTGACTCAATATATACTGTAGAAGTAGTATTTCATTTACTTCTAACTAGAGTTACATAATCGGCTACTGATGACATTTAGGAAAAAATCCGAGGCCGTGAAAGTTTTTGTGCTCCGTGGAGAGCATGGCTATACCGAATGGCATGGACTCGAGAATCGATACCGTACATCCTCTATCCCTTCGCAATCCTATCAAGGCGGTAGCCAGACGCTCACTGACCGATGCTTGACTTCGGAGATCTGCTGGGTACCGCGTCTTACAATCAGTTCATTTGAGACTGATTAGTTATGCAACTAGTCTTTAAATTAAAGTGTTTCAGTTTTAGCTTACAATTTATTTTAAAAATAATTCAATAATTAATTATTAAAATAATAATATTTTCTTAACTGTTAGTTTGATAGGCTCATTTTTATGCATTCCTATTTTTGTTAAAGTATTTTTATTATTACCCATTGGCAAAATGGGTGTTGTTTTGAGTTCGATGGCGTGCGCACCTTATTTGGACGTCTTCACACTTTTCAACTGTGTTTAAGAGTGAACAGTGCGCATGCGTCGTCATTGCATGTGTTGCTGTGGCAACCGCTGCTGTTTGATGATTTTTTTTAGAATTCTTTTTTAATAATAACTTGTTCATAATTGGTTTCTTGCAACTTGAGAAGTCATTATGACTAATAATCATGTGATTTAAATCAATTTTATTGGATATCTGTTAGCGACGTAACGCATGTGTATCGAACTTCATTGATTGGATCGACAAATGCCACTATTTACCCCCAATGACGTCAATTTATGGGTATCCATGATCAATTTACTTCTTATAGTATTGAAATTACCCAATTGCAACCTTTTTTATATAAATATGAATACCGAGGAAAGACAAAAAATTGTGACTTTACATCGACTGAAACTTTAAATTAATCCAGTTCATTTTTATTTTATTTTATAACCGTCTTTCAACAGCCGACCCAATTTTAGGGGTTTACGACTACAAATGCTCAGCTCCGTAGCCTTGTAATTTTGAACCCCATCCAGAAGACAAGGGAACTTCTGGATCGAGTAGTGGGATAACTTTGCCATCGTGGAGGACTTTTTGATAGAGCTAACCCGCATTTGCGTTGCATGGAGAGGAAGACCACGAGAACCTTCCACGGTCAGCCTGACTGCAAGGGGACTCTAGCCAATGATCCGTCTACCACTGATAATATTTTACATAAGCACTGTGATTAGTGGAAGCCGAGATTCGACCTGGGATTCGAATCCGGTTCTCCGCATTGGAAGGCGAACGCTCTATCCCCTGATCCATCGCGGCAAAACCAGTTCATTGGATCCAACCCATGATTGGAAATGTTTGAGGCTTTTATCCTAAAAATTTTTTGACCAATGGACAACCAGTTATCGCAATAATGCGATCAATTTTTTTTTTAAATAAACAAATAGAAACTTTATTAGGAACAAAAACAAACACATAAATACAAAGAATATATATTCGTCGACAAGAGGAAAATCCTGTCCAGGCAACAAAGAAAGGTAATACAATAAATTTAAAATAGAAAGGGGGGATATTACAATCATGAATAATTTTGCTCATTATAAGACATCATATATTGCTGAACACTGTAATAATAGAAAAAAAAATACACGAAACTATATAAAAAAAATGACAAAGGTAACATAAGAAATTCATTTGGATTGGCACAAAACTGGTATCAAAAATCGAATGCTTCCTCTAAAGTGAAAAATAGAGATCTAAATCGTCAATGTTTATCACAAATTGAAATAAAGCACGCTTAAAAGAAGAATATATTTGGATATTTTGCAACTGAGATGGTAATTTATTATATAATCTAGGTGCTAAGTAAAAAAAACTGTTTTCGTGAAATTTCTTTTGTAAAGTGGGGAATCTCATATATTTCAGTTGGTCTCCTTGCAGATACAGTAGTTTTTAATTTGCATATTAATTTACTGTTGTGTAAATAAAGTAAAATACGAAAAAATACATTATGGTGAAATAGTAATAGATTAATTCTTCTGTATATATATTTGTAGTAGTTACATTTGAGTTATTTATATTTAGAGAATTAATAATCTTGAAGTATTTATTCTAAACTGAGATTAAAGGAAGTAAATTAGTTTTATTAATTAGTTTAAAGGAAGTAAATTAGTTTTATTAGTTAGTTTAAAGGAAGCAAATTAGTTTTATTAATTAGTTTAAAGGAAGTAAATTAGTTTTCTTTTCTTTTTTTTCTTCTTTATTTTGTTTTTCTTTGCTTTAGGTTTTGCTCTCCTAGAATCAGGATGTGTCAGCCGAAAAAACGAAGTCAATGTTCGAATGAAAAATATTGTAGACATGGTTTTCGGAGGTCTCACTTACTGGATGTTCGGTTATGGCATGAGTTACGGCACTGACAAGGGAACAAATCCATTCTTCGGGGTTGGCAACTACTTCGTCGACACTCCCGAGGACAATATGGGCTACTTATACGCCACATACGTCTTCCAGCTTTCATTTGCTTCTACAGCAACTACAATAGTATCTGGAGCAGTTGCTGAAAGATTTCATTTCACTGCCTATTGCGTTTACTCCTTTTTCAATACTTTCATCTACTGCTTGCCTGCTGGATGGATTTGGGCCAAACATGGATTCCTCAATCATCTCGGTGTCGTGGACATTGCTGGATGTTGTCCTGTTCATCTGGTTGGGGGAGCTTCAGCGTTAGTTGCCGCATGTTTGGTGGGCCCAAGGCATGAAAGATATACTGATGAAAAGAAATTTGCAATCATCAATTCTCCCACGAATGCTATGCTTGGGATGTTCATACTATGGCAAGTATTAGTTAATATTAAGAAATGAAAAATATCTTTTGAAAGGCCACATGATTGAATCTTGCACACGAAGATTTATATATATATATATATATAGTTGATATTATTATAGTTATTCGATATTTTAATATCTGCTGAGGACATATTAGGAGAAACATCAGTATTTGGAGTACAAGTTGAATGGATACTGGGGAGCTACATTGATGTAGGGCATATCGGGCAAATATATACTAAGCTGTGGCATATGACTAGATCTAGTATATATTTCGGATATTTACCAAAGCGACTATGTGATTGCCAACATTCACCAGGGGGAAAAATTTTTTTGATACATTTATAAAGTATGCACAAGGTATGAAGTATATGAATTCTAAAGTTTATTTCAAGTGCAGGTTATAACACTGGGGGACAATTTTTTTGTTACATTTATACAAATCTTTGATCACCTACTTGATCTTCGGATGTGGGAAATTCAAATCTGAAATTAAATTTTGTTTCAGAAAGATATAGATTTTTTGTTTCGAAATTACAATTTTAGTTCACTTAATTTATTTTCGGAATGTTGAAGCTTATAAAGAACGCATAGGTTTATGTAGACACACAAAGACAATTGTCTTCTTCTATGAAAATAACACTTAAGAGGAAAAAACCAGATGAAGTATCGCATCATGAGCTGACTGATATGTATCATCACCTTTTTTTTACCACTCCCTACGTAACAGAGAAGTGAAGACAGTTATTATTCTCAAAAGTAAATATTAAAAAATCCTGGTTAGGAATATATTATTAAATTGCATAAAAATGATAGCTTGGAGAGAAACAAAGTGCTGATTTGAAATTCGTGGCTCAAAAATATCTAAGAACCGTTTAAAACCTCAGACAACAGAGAACAAATTGTGCCCTAATGCATTTTGTGAAAATATTGTTCATTTCATTACGATTAACTTATTAACAAAATGTTCTAACATAAAATTATATATTTATTAACAAAATGGGACTTTAAAAATTTTAAGAATGATGAATTTGAAGCAATCACGGAGGTTGGTGACACGAGCCTCGATTCTTTTTAAACTTTCCTAACTCTAAAATTTCACTTTTCCGATGTAACGCAAGTCATTAAAGAAAAGAAAATTTCTCAAGAAACTCGCTCTTAAATCGAGAAGCTAAAGGCTTTCATAAGTATCATTTTCTTCAAAATATATATTTCTAGCCCAAACTATTTGCAACCGTCGTTGAACAGCCAACCCGATTTTTTGAGAGTTTACAACTACTAATGTTCACCTTGTAATTTTGAACCCAATCTAGAAGACAAAGGAACTCCTAGATAGAGTATTCTTTTTAATTTTATATTTTATATCCGTTGTCGAACAGCCGACCCAATTTTTGGGCTTATGACTACTTATGTTCAACGCCGTAGCCTTGTAATTTTGAACCAATCCAGAAGACAAGGAAACACCTGGATCAGTACCCCCAGTGGTTTTGATTTGTTAAGAGAATATGGAGGACTTAACGTCGACAGATTTAACGTGAAATTACTACACGGGGAATTTTCGGCCGGCGGGGATCGAACCCACGAACTCTTGGACATGGGCCCAGCGCCCTACCGACCAGGTCATCCGGGCCCTTAGGTAGAGTATTGAGAGAAATTTTGCCTTCGTGGAAGACTTCTTGCTGGAATTAATCCGCATTTTCATTACATGAAAACCTCCCATGGTTACCGCGACGGCAAAGAGACTCTAAACCATGATCTGTCTACCCCTAAGGATATTTTTACGTCAGTGCTGTGGTCATATCAACCACCCACCGCTGGGATTTGAACCCGCTACATCTTTTTGAAAGACGAACGCTCTGAGCCACCACAACTCAGCCTAAACTGTTGTTTAACTTGGTTTCCAGATAGGTATTTCAAAAAATGTTTTGAATTTCTACTGGATAACATCACAGAAACCACTTACTGCTGACGTGAATAATCGTAATTGTTTCTTCAAAAACGTTCTCCAAAGCAATTGTGGCTTATCATTACATTCTCCGTTCATTTAAAAGAAGTTGTTATATGATAAATAATGTAGAATGAATCAAATTTATTATTATTGTTGTTAATTATTAATTTTTAATTAGGTGGGGATGGCTTGGATTCAATTGTGGAAGTACTTTTGGCGTTACCGGGGCGAAATGGAAATATGCCTCCAGGTGCGTATATAATTTATTCATTTTTATAAACGCAAAATATAATTTCTAATTAAATTGTTGTTGCTTTTGTTTTAAATCTTCATTGATAATTACCTGAATAATAGAACACACAAGTGTGCAAGTACAAACAGTCGACAAGCACTTTTAGAAATATTCCGTAGAAAAGGAAAAAGAGTCATAGACGTAACGTGAGAGAAATTTTTAAGGGAGCACACGGTTTTTTTCTTTATATATATTTTATAATTAGAATGAATCTACAGTGCAACATCCAGGAAAGACCACCTCTGTGTAGCGACCACCCCTATTTACAACCAATTACTTCTATAAGTAAATGTTAGGAATTTGTTTTTATGGGAGTTGTATTTCATTTTAATTTTTAACCCTTTTGAAGGCCGTGGTAAGTATACTTACCATCACGTTTTACCACTTTTAATTTAGGTTTCCATTTTTCAGTAACTTCAGCTTTCTTGAAGTGANTAGAACAACTTTCATTTATAAAATACATAATTCCTTTTGAAGTTTGTAGCATTTAAGGAATTTATTTTATAAATGAAGAAAAATAAATGTCAGTAAGTTCCTAATAGGACATTTTAAATGTATTTACCACCAAAAAAATGGCATTTTTATAAACTAAATGAGCTTGTTTTTTTTTACATCAATTACTGTTCTTAAAATAATTTCAATTCCAGAAATACTTTACTTTAACTTTACTAGAAATAAAGGGCCCGTTAAAGGGTTAATCAAGAAGTTGTGATTTGATTTTATTTTATTTGGTAACCGTCGTTGAACAGCCGACCCAATTTTATGGGTTTACGACTACCAATGTTCCACTCCCGTAGCCTTGTCATTCTGAACCCAATTCAAAAGACAAGGGAACTCCTGGACCGAGTATTGGGAGAATTTTTGCCTTCGTGGAGGACTTTTGATGGAACTAACCCGCATTTGCGTTACATGGAGCGGAAGACCATGATAACTTCCTACGGTTAGCCTGACGGCAAGGGGACTCTAACCCATGATCCGTCTAACACTGAGGATATTTCACGTCAGTATTGGTCTGTGCAAGCTGGATGCGAAATTCGTATCGACTGGGATTCGAACCCGGTTCGCCTCAGTGGAAGGTGAACGCTCTGAGCCATCGTGGCTCAAGAAATTGTGATTGAAAAGAATTACAAAATCTGGTGCAATTCTGACTGTCACAAAATGTATTTTTAATGAAAGAGTAGCATGAATAAAATTAATCTAGGCATTCATTAAACATTCATTAAACTGACATTAACTTACATTCATTAAACTAAAATGTCTATCCTCTCAGTTATCCAAGTTAGTAAAAATTATTAATTATTTCATGTTCATTTTAAAGTCACAACGACTAGAATCAATCAATATTTATTTGCATCCTTCAAAGCCAATTTAACCGCTTTTTTCTCGTCAAATATTAGCAGTTAACGGTCATATTTTTAATTCGTAATAATCTATTTTAATTCCGTAAGGTATAATTTTAACAGCAGTTATCTGTAATTAATTAATTTTTTTATGATTTCAAATTTAAAAACTTCTTTAAATTATTAAAATCTAGATAGGTTAGAAAAATGCATTAAAACTTTTATTTGCAGATCTGCAATCACTACCATCAATGCTTCAATTGGAGGTGGACTGGGATCTTTGATATTCAGGTTGAATATTTTCAGTAACGTAGTTAATATTATTTGTCGGTAAATGTTCTAAATGTATTTGATTTTTTTCTTACAGTTCTTTGGTATACAACAGAAAATTTCTCATTTCACATTTAATCAATGGTATCTTATCCTCTTTAGTTGCTATAACAGGTAAGATCTAAAAAATTAACTTTTTTTAAAAAATTTATAACAATATTTTTGAAAAAAAATTGTTTTATTTGTTTACTAAAAAGCATAAAAATATACTTATCAAAATTTGCACTTCATATAAAAAGAAAACTAAAATCTAAAGTTATTTCGATGTAGAAATCCAAATATCCAAATGTAAATAATCCAAAATTGCAAAAGACGGTAAGCCTCTGCAACTTTGTCAGGCTTTTGAACATGAATTTTTTAAAAAAGGAAAAAAATTTGATAGCTGTATTACGATCACTGGTTACTTATTGGCCAAATGGTTTTTTTTTTCTGGTTTAAATCTGATAAACGCCACAACATTTCAAACCATGGGTTGCAAAAACTGTTTCAATTGATGTTTGTCGTCGAAGTGGTTTCCAAATCCTGGCTATGTACTTCCAAAATACATTTTCTTCTTCAGTGTTCATATTTATATTAAAATAACAGTCAAGACTGCAATTATAAGTTTATAATATAAAGAATATTAAAATACTTTAAATTATTATTATGTAAGTAAATACTTTAAAAATGACTGCTGGTGAAAATAATAAGAAGAAAAAGAATATAATTATCAAACAGCTGCGGTCGCCATAGCAACGCATGCAATGACGACGCATGCGCACTGTTTACTATTACTCTTGAATTACAATAGAAAAATGTGATGACGTCCAAATAAGGTGCGCACGCCATCAATCAAAACAATGCCCATTTTGCCAATGGGTAAAAACAATTCTCTAAGTTTTGAACTCTTGAATTAAAAGCGTAATATTAGCAGTGTAGGAAAATTACTTTAGATTAGGGATACAAAAATATTTATTGAAAAATGAATTTTATGACTTTCATTAATTTTATGCTGATGACAACCAAAACAATATGAAAATAAATAAGCAAAAACTGGATCCTACCACGTGATTTTCCTGCCAATAATGTAAAAGTGCGATACCATGATTAGATTTTTATGTATAGTAGTATTTTTTAAGTAAGTATTTATGTATAGTAAGTATTTGTATAGTTATGTATTTTTCCTTCACTCTAGCTGGTTGTGCCCTTTACAATCCATGGGAAGCTTTGCTTATAGGATTCGTCAGTTCTCAATTAACATGTATCGCAATGCCCGTATTGGATGATCTGAAGATAGACGATCCGGTGGGGGCGATTCCAGTCCATTTAGTGGGATCTATATGGGGTATGATATCGGTTGGACTGTTTGTTGAGGAAGATTCCATGCTGTTGATGAGCAAGAAACAGGCTGGACTGTTCTATAAAGGAGGATTTTACTTGATGGGAATTCAACTACTCTCTCTTTTAGTGGTGGGAGTTTGGAGCGGTATTACAACTCTTATTTTGTTGAAGGTGAGAAGATATTTCAGTTCTTATTCATAATTTTTAATTATGCTGTTGTTGTTGTAGTTCATTTACGTCACACTAGTGCAGCACAATGGGTTATTGGTGACAAACTGGGAAACATCCCATAGGGTGATCCGAAGACATACCATCGCAATTTTGATCCTTAGCAAAGGGGATGGCACCCCCACTTCGGTAGCCCGACGACCTGCGCGTGAAGTCGAGCACTTTACGATGGAACAGTTTAGCGAGGACAAATACTGCACACTCTCGGTACCTTCATAAACTGATCAAGGAAGTCACCCACGCACACACACACACGCACACACACACACACTGTTCACAGCCAGTGATGCTTGACTTCGGCGTTCTGCCAGAAACTGTGTCTTAACGATCAGTCCACTGCGGGACTTTAAATATCCACCTGAGGCCGTTTACAGCCTTTCCCATCCACTATTTCTTTTCATATCCTGGAATTTGTCATTTTATACAAGGTTTAGATTTTAGGTTCGAATCCCGGTGATAGCTTGTGAGGACGAATTCTTCTCCCGGATTTCTGTAGGGTGAGTTTTTCGCGGAGAAATGTTTTTTCCCGATTCAGATCGCAATCACATGTGAAATAATCACATCCAGTGTAATTGGTCCTTTAGAATACCCTTGCTGGTTCTATCCCAGTATTCGGCATTGCTCCAGGAACCGTGGTGGCTCAGGGAATAGAGCGTTTGCCTTTCAATGAGGTGAACCGGGTTCGCATCCCAGCGATGTCTGATCGATACAAAATCCTTACCCGGCACTCACCGACGGATCATGAGTCAAAGTCCCCTTGCCGTCAGGCTAACCATGGAGGGGTTTTCTCAAGAGGTTTCTTACTTTGCAGCGCAAATGCGGGTTAGTTCCAGCAAAAAATTCTCCACAAAGGCTAGTTTGTCCCAATGCTTGATCCAGGAGTTTTCTTGTCTTCTGTGCTAGGTTTAAAATTACAAGGCTAAAAAGTTGAGCAGTGATAGATGTAAACCCTTAAATGGGTAAGCTGTTCATCGCCACTGGTTATTAAATAAAATAGTGGTGATAAATTCAAATCAAGGCTGATCAAGGAGTGATCACTTTAAAGATACCACTTATACATTGAAGTAAATGGAGGATGTTTTAACCTTCTTTGACTTACTTCACTCGCATCTCATTTCGAATGTTAAAAAGGTACAGATAGTGATTTGTTTTGTCGTCAACACTTGCAGCCCCTTTCCACTGCGCAATTAATTTTGATAAGAAAAGGTTTCAAAAACCTAACACACCAGTGTTCAGTGTTTCTTTCTCATAAGTAAAATAATCATTGCTTACTCCAGTGAATTTTAAATAACATTCATATTTTACGATGCTAACTCAAACAGTTTAAATTACAATTGTTAATTAATCATAAAGTAGAGTTCATTTTTAATCAAAAAACTACACTATGCATTAAATACCATTAAAAAGGGAAATTTCACAAAAATGTATAATTTCAGATTGAATCTCCCCTTTTAATCGAATAACCTGCCTAATTGAATGGAGTAGGCTGAAACCAGTGGTATTCTTTCAAGTCGGGTTGACTGTATATTTTAATATAATTTCTGACTGACTAGGTTAAATATAAGGAGATATTTGGGTATTATATATATATTGTATTATAATAATGTTTAAAAAAAAATTGCAAAGACACCCATATAAAACAAACCAAGTTAATTTACCTTCTCAATCCAATGCAATAGGCATAAATCAGATTCTATTGGTATTTGATAATTGATAAATTTTTATTTTTTTTTCTACAGGTAATTAACCTTATTATTCCCATAAGAATGAACTTAGAAGATGAAGAAATCGGAGCTGATTCAGTTGAACATAATATAAAGCATTACACAACATCGCAAATGAGACAAATTTCAGCTACTAACTCTCACCTTTTCTAACTGTTTACCTCATCAGAGCCTACGGTAATTTTTTAAAAAGAAATCTCACTTTCTTTAGTATTTTTTTAGTATAGTTTCACAGCTTTTTCGTTCGTTTTTAAAGAAACATCTCACTTTTTTTAGTATATTTTCGCAGCTTTTTCAGTCGTTTTTAGAAAGACATCTCAGTTTTTCTTATTTTGTTTTTTTAGTATAATTTAGCAACTTTTTCAGTCGTTTTAAAAAAGACATCTCAGTTTTTTTCATTTCTTTTTTTTAGAATAGTTTCACAGCTTTTTCGGTCTTTTCAAAAAGACATCTCAGTTTTTTTATTTTTGTTGTTGTTTTAGTTCAGTTTCACAACTTTTTCTGTCGTTTTTAATAAGACATCTCAGTTTTTTATTTGTTTTTTTAGTATAGTTTCACAGCTTTTCGGTCGTTTTTAAAAATACATCTCAGTATTTTTTTCAGTATAGTTTTACAATTTTTTTGGTCATTTTTAAAAAGGCATCTGTGTTTTTTTAGTATTCTTTCAAAGCTTGAAGAGATGTTGATCTTATGGTTATGCACTTGTTTTCATAATGAAGAAGGATGTTAAAAACATCGTGAAATTATGTATTACTGTCATAAAAATAAAATTTTATTAAAAATATGAAATGAAATGCAGTGAACTTACAAATATTGTAGAAACAGAATACAGCGAACTTCTTTTTTGTAAACGTAAACTTAATGGTAGTCACTAATGCCAGAAGCATACTTTCAATTTTGTTAATAGGCTTTACTTTTTTTTATAACAGAATGTTATATAATTTCAAGATACTCCAAGTAATGTACACTTTATGTTATGCTTTATATAATATAGGGAGTACATATAATTTACGTATTAACAAAATAATGGATAGTAAAGTTTAGAAAAATTAATAATTAAATGTTTTTACTAGTGCTTACAGTTTTTTTCAAATATTAGGAGGATATATTCAAAAATAAGGAGGTTTTGCAAATTACGTTAGCAAAATTACGTTGCTTAGTCGTAAATTTACGTTTACTTAATTTTTTAAAAAATTTAATATTATATAAAGTATTGAGAGTTACTTAAACTTAATTTTCAGAGCTATTTACCAGTTTGGATATCTTTTTCATTCATCCTTTGCATAACTTTCAAAAGCTGACTCAACTTCAAGCTTCACAGACAGAGTTTTAAGGTGGACTGAATATTTTACAATTTTTGCGCTTCTAATTATTGGAATTAATTTTTATGCTCCTGTGACAATAAAATATCTCACAGACATTGTTTAAATAATTGCTGCTTATTTTTTTTAAAAAGACTTTTCATTGTTGACGAATCTTTTTTGATCTAATGGTGAGAATAACTGACATGCATTGTTGTGATGTACCCCAACCCTTCCAAATAAAGAATAATCTGATTAACTGTACTAATATGAATACAGTGAGAGAGAAGAAAAGAATATCACCTTGAATAACTTTTATAGTAATGATCGCATTTACAAAATACCAGTCTCTGTTGTTTAACTGAATAATTTTTATGCTCTTGTAACAATAAAATATCTCACAGACATTGTTTAAATAATTGTTGCTTATTTTTTTTAAAAAGACTTTTCATTGTTGACGAAACTTTTTTGATCTAATGGTGAGAATAACTGACATGCATTGTTGTGATGTACCCCAACCCTTCCAAATAAAGAATAATCTGATTAACTGTACTAATATGAATACAGTGAGAGAGAAGAAAAGAATATCACCTTGAATAACTTTTATAGTAATGATCGCATTTACAAAATACCAGTCTCTGTTGTTTAACTGAATAATTTTTATGCTCTTGTAACAATAAAATATCTCACAGACATTGTTTAAATAATT